ATTTGCCATTCCTTCCTCTAAATAATGTGCCTTCAAAAAACAACCACAAAACCACCCAAAATGAAACTCCTCAAAACAAAGAGGTTGGATTTTGTTGAGGGTGTTACTCATTCTTTATTAATAAATCTATTAGAGTCTGTGTTCAAAACAACCATGAGAAACACAAGCACATATTCCAAGTAATGTAAAACCATAAATGTGCAGCATAAGAGGAGCATCTCATCCACTCCTACAGCAATTATTTCACCAGGAGAGCAGGAAAAGAAAGTTTGTTGGAATCCTGTGTAATAAAATCATGTGATTTCAAACCCCAAAGGTCAGAAGTGACAGCCCAAGCTCTGGTGCTTGCCAGCTTGGCCACTCAGTGCCTTCCTGTGCTGAAGTTGTACAACGTGGAAGGTCAAGAGACAGGAGAGGACTGTGCATCAACCTGTTATGAAAATTCCATGTAGAAATAGAGAGATAATCTCAAGGTGGCAGGAGAACTTGGCTGCAAGACGTGTGGCAAGATAACTATACTTTATAAGCATGTTTTTGCATGATTCAAGAACATTTTTGAAGTATTATCTTAAGCCAGGAGTATTGTACTACTCTTGAGATGATACATGACTGCAGTTGAGCAGCAGAGCTGTCAGTGCAGAAGGGTGTAGGTACCTTCCTGTAGCTGGTGTAGCCAGGAGGAAATCACACTGAGTACCAGGAAAAAGCAAGACAACTCCAGGGCTTGACTGTAAGCAGTGGTATGGACAGAAATCTCTTGTCCTTGGTATTTCCCATATATTTCCCATGTATCAGCTTGTATAGTTTCTGTCAGCTGCTCTTTTTTCAGCCCTTAAATGTGGATCAGACAGTTGCTTTTATGTCCTTTGTGTATTGTAAGTGCAAGCATAGAATATACCTGACTGGCCAATATAAGAAATAGTCCTTCAAGGAAACTAACTTAATATTACTAGACACTTGTGCTGTTGGGAAGCTGAGTGGTAACTGCTTTGTACTTACACAACCTCTACAGCATACTAACAGTTTGTGTGCTGTAGCTGGAACTCTGCTGCTCTGTTTTTAGCACTGCTCTTCAAAGGAGCAACTTCCATTATGGTCCATGCAAGGCTTTTGTTTAATTCTGCCATGTCTTCAAACCTGTTGCTTTGACACTCTTGGTGAGTATTTGGCTTGGACAGGCAGCCACGTGCTCTGGTTGTTCTCCATGTGTGTGAGAACACTTATTAGATGGATGTTTCCAGGAGAAGACACAGGATCAGGCAAAAGCTGGACACAGGCCTTGTGATAATCAATTCACCCTCTGTCGTGTTGATTCAGGTAAACTGTCACTTTTCTGATAGTTCTAGACTGTAGTTTGGGTTGTCTGAGAGGTACAGTCTCACTTTTCTCCAGAGTGCTGCTTTTGTCTGGGCAGGGTGGGATTTTGCCTGGAAAAAAAGGCTGTGCCTGTAAACAGATTAATTTACAAGAAGTTGTGGGACAAAATCACGCCGAGCAGAAAACCTCCTTGGAAGTGTGAGAGAAATTTGTTAGCTGCAAAGGGCATGAACTTATCAACATCATTCAAATCAGGGCTGCCTTGAAGTCTGCAGCAGCACTTCATGAAATCTTAAATATGCAACAATCCTCCCACACAGGTAGAGCTTTCAGCTTTCTGCTCAGATAGAAGCAGAACACCTTGACTGTGCTCTTCACTGTAAAAATGAAGGCAACACGTATCATAAACATCCCAAAGGGCAAGCAGGCTGTAGGTAATGAAACTTTCAACTTCCAGGCAAATGTTTTTCTTTGCATTGAATGAAACTGAGGCTTCTTTTATTGGGAAGAGTTTGACATGAACAATCTCAGCCCTATCTTTGATTAGAAGCGTAGGGGAGGTGTGGCAGTGAAGCTTGAAAAATGCTCTTCATCCTTTGTATGAAGAGGTGGCAAGGTTGAGAACAACTTAATTTGTCTCTATTAAATCAAATTTTGCTGAGGCAAGAGGTTACACATTGCAGAATTTACTGTAATAAAAGATAATCTAGAAAAATTCATTTCTGCAACAAGTCAGAGTTGATGCATTGTGGCAGAAACTACCTTATACCTCCACCAGTCTAGCTGGAACACTTCAAATGGGCTTGATATGAAGTTGTTTTAAAATAAATGTTGTCATCTCATGCTCTCAGAACAATGAGTTTGCTACACCTCTGAAAAATCAGGCTGCTTATGTAAGTCCCTAAATAAGGCTGTATCATGCCAGTTTGAAAATCATTGTTTTTTTTTAACTTTTGCATGCCTCCTCTCCCCATGAAGCAGATCCAGGGGCAGGTAAGATGGCAGGGTGTTTAAAAGCCTTTTTCTATTTGAAACATCTGAATCTTGGGGGAGGAAATTTGATCTGGTAAAGCAGAACTGGGGGCCCCAAATGTGGGTGGGCTGAGCTGTGTTGTGGTAGCCCTGCTGCAGGTAGGAGGGAGGTGGAATCTGATAACTTCAGAGGTCCTTTGCAGCCAGTATGCCTGTGATTCTGTGATCAGCCTACCACACAGCCCAGAAAATGCATGGGACTTGCCTAAACTTGGTCTTTTTGTTGAGATCTGAACATGGGATTCCCTGTGTGCACTTGGACTGTCTGCTGAGCTGAGCCCCAGTGCTGGTGGGAGGCTGGAGGTGTCTGTAGAGCCACTCACACCAGAGCAGAAGGGAGCTGAGGGTCAGGGTGATCTGGTAGCTGACAGCAGCATGATGTATATATGTTGTGGTGCTTCAGCAGCAGGGTAGAAGAGAGAGGCTTAACTCTCCAGGCAATACTGAGACATGCATGAGGAGAGGAGTCACATATGATGCTGATAATCCATTTAAAAACCAGGAAAATGTGAGATATGTACAGGAAAAGCTGTTTTTTCTCTGTTAAATCTACACCATCAAGCATTCTGAAGTCCAAAAATGATGTAAAAAGGTAAAGCAAAATCACAGACTGCAATAGTGTACTCTGAGAGTCTTGTAACAGCAAAACAATTTTATCCTCCAGGTGTGATTTAATCCTTAATTAAAGATTAAGCCATTAAGGATTAATGAGAATGAATCCTTAGTTTCCCATTGTTTAAATTTGAAATACTTCTGGACACTGTTACCTCATATTCTTGTATTGGGTCCCACTCCAGGGTTTCTTGGAGGGGAAGCTGAATGATGTTTTTGCAGTGTTAGGAAAAGCAGAGTTCTCTGTAGGAACCCTGGTCACATTTTGCTGTTGTCTAAAGAATCATTTGTCTCTCAGGCTTTTGGAAATGAGCAGGGGATGTGCCCAGGTCTCCTGAACTGGACTTGTTCTGGTATTTTTCTGAAATTCTGTTCAGGTCTGAGATGTTTCCCTATTCCTCTTTATATCAACAACAAAATCTGTGATCATAGGACAACTACTACTAGTAGTCCCCATACTACTGAAGTCACACAGCAGCTTCCCACACTGGGGAATTAGTCATTGTGATGCTGGTCACAGGTAGGTCAGGAATAACCACCTTGAGCTTCCTCTACAAGTCCAATTCAGCTCCTTTACTAGTCTGGACTGTGCTGCAGGTTTTGCCTCACTTGCTGTTTTGCTTTCTTTTAAAGAACAAAGTTTACAGCCTAAGTGATGTTCTAATAAAGCTTTTGTCCATACCCCATGTGATCAGGCAGAAGTATGAGAATGTAAACCAGGCTCCTGGCTGTTCCCATCTGCAGTTGGAGAGGGGCTGAAGCTTTTTACCAGGCTGAAGATCTTATCTCTCATCTCTGTAATGACCTTATCTTGAGAAGTTATGGGACTTTCGATTGGCCACGTGCTACCTGGCCACATCTTTCTTCCTTTCCCTGGCTGTTTGCAGAGCCTGGGACTTTGCACCCAGTGTAACTGATTTTTTTTAACAAAATAGTTTCTGTTAGTGCCATTCCCACCCACTCAGCCTCAGGGAATTTAGCCTGGACTTTGTTCTGTGTTACTGGCTGAACGTACTTAGTTCCCTGTGGCACAAAGTTAAGGACTGGTGTTTGGGAAGTGGCTCTACCCCAGCAAAGTGCTTCAGCAATGGGCAGCTCTCACAGTGTGACCCCAGCTCTGTGGAAAGGTGGCACTCTGCTGGGTTGCAGAAGAAGGGTCTTTCAGGGGAGCAAATAGCAAGAGATGGGGGGACTTTTGGGAAAGTCTATCAGCTCTGAATTTATACACAACCTACCAGGAACTCTGTGCAGGGAGGAAGCAGAGAGCTGTGGGAGGAGATGCTCTTGAGGCTTGTGGAAGGAGGGAGATCAGAGGGGAGGGTACACAGATCCCATGAAGCTCTCTCTGAGTTGTTCATGAGGGTGGCATAAGCATGGTTAGAGAATGCAGCATACCTTACTGCACTGAACTTGAAAGGATTAAACTAGAGGGCCAAAGATGGTCATAACTCAGTGGGGCTCTGAGGGAGCAGCTACAAACCACCCCTTGGTGGCTTCAGGCCAGCTGTATGGCTGTGCTTTGTTTCTCCAGAGCCTTGCCTCAAGGCTTTGCAGAGGAATCCTGAGCTTGTGGGCTGTGCTAGACCTACAAACAGCCGCTGGACTCAAACCATACCTGAGCTGGGGAACACCTGGAGGTCAGCTGCAGTCTGACAAATGCTACAGAAACCACACAGAAACAGCTTTGCTGCAAAGAGTCTTTCACAGTTTTGACCTTTAGGCTTTTGTTTAAATTTTGTGGTGTTTGTTTACTGGTGGATTCCTGCCGTAGGATACCGAAAGTACTGGCTGAGTGGAGTTTCTGTTGGAATAATTTATTTGCTTCTTTTAGGGCAGTAATTATTTACTAAGTATCAGCAGTTGTCTGGAATGCCTAGTTAATTATCAGCTCGCCCTGTGAAAAGGCACACAATGAAAATACTGAAATAAAAAATTTGAAAGTTGTTCTTTTTCCCTCTGGTTTCAGGTCCTGGGCCCATGTGTCGCCTCTGAATCGCCTCGTCCTAGTTCTCTAAGTCCCAACTCAGACCATCTCCTTGATGCACACTCACGGCATCATGGCCAGCACTCAGGAGCGCCTGAGCTTGTCTTCCTCTCCAAACTCCCTCAGCAAAGCCTTCTGTGAAGAGAAGGACTCGAGCAGGCTCCAGGAGGAGCACTCACCGGCCGGGAAGCACCCGTCCCCCGAGGCGCTGGAGAAGGGCCCGCTGCAGACGGAGCTCCCCGAGCAGGTGAGCAGCCCGGTGACCACGGCCGTGCTGAGCAGTGTCAGTGAGGACTCCAGGGAGCAGTTTGAGAACAGCGTGCTGCAGCTGCGGGAGCAGGACGAGGCTGAGACCCCCCTTCCTCAGGGCAACAGGAGCACTGGGGACGGGGAGAGCAACGGTGGAGGGGACGACGTCAAAGTCCAGTTCAACAGATCGGGCAGCGGAAGCGGCGGGTTCCTGGAGGGGCTCTTTGGTTGTCTGAGGCCCGTGTGGAACATCATAGGCAAGGCGTACTCCACAGACTACAAGCTACAGCAGCAAGGTAAGCAGGGAGGCAAAGCTTTATTGCTTCTGGGGGAATGGCTGAAGAGGAGGAGAGGAACCCAGGGTGCTTTCCCAGCTCTCCGTGTGACCGTTTTCATCTCATGCAGCCCTGCTGTGGGGTTCACACAGAGAAATCCTGCACTGTACAGCCAACAGCTATCATTTGTAGCAAAGGCAGCTTGTGATGGAGTCAAAAACAATTGCTTGCTCTGACCCATGCCTGGGACCATTGTGACAAGATCTGAATCTGAACCAAGTATTTGTGTGAGTGAGGATTAGGAAGAATTGTCTTCAACACAACTATTTATTTGCCCATTTTTTTCATGCCTGACAAAAAACTTAGGCAAAGGTATTTTCATCATGCCAGATGCCATTTTTACTCCTCCTGTATGTGTGTGTGAAGGCTGTCTTCAGTTGACCACCAAGGAGCAGAAATTTTGCTGCTCTGTGGGCATATTACATTAACTTTTATGTCTTTTCATTCAGGAGTAATTTTGCACTTTAAAATATCATTCAGTACTTATCTTTCCAGAAATATATCCTTTAATGCTTATAGCTTTTTCATTGAGATGTATAAATGTATGAGTGTGTGAGCATAAATATATATATATGAAATATGTAGTTCAGGAATAAGCAATGTCCCAGTCAATGGGGTACATCTATCTTTAGGGGTTACTGGAAGCTGGAGAGCAGAGTATGCTCTGCCTTTGGTGTCTAATTTCTCCCCTAGCACAGGGGGAGGGACGTGGCAGATGGGAAAAGAACAAGCTGTCATTAGAATTAAGGAGCTGGAATGGTTGAGGCTTATTGAAAATGGGAACAGCCTGGCCACCATACTATACTATGGGGTGGAATTCTCTTCTCATGTGTGATCATGACTCAGTATTAATAAAATGGTTTTCTGGCATAAATTGTAAGATACGTGGTCAGAGAATTCATCTGAGTGGTTCATATCTCAACTCCAGAGCTGGGCTGAGAAGAGTTCCTAGTATGATGGAACAGAGCTGTTAAGTAACATGTTGGGTAAATCTGCCTTGAAGTAAACTCACTCCTCCTTCCTAGGGTGAATCATTTCCAGTTTGTAGCTCTGAGCAGGGAAATCCACCACTGCATTGCAGACTGGCAGGTGCCTCCTCAGCAGCAGCCTCTTGTCTGTCAGACTGGTGTGCTCAGCAAGAGATCACTTGGTTTTTGGAATCCTTTGGCATCACCCAGAGCTGCTGAGCTGTCTGGTGCTTGTGCATGCCTGTAAGCTCAGGTGGGTAGCTTCAGGAAAGGTACCTGTGAGGTGAGGAGATCCTGTTTCATGTGTGATTGGGACAGCAGATGCTTTGGAGACCACAGCTTCATGTTCTCTGGTAGCCCACAGGGGACACTTTCTTTTGTATGGGAGTCACTAATGAGAAAGATGGAAGTGCTAAGGAATGAAAATGAGCAGCTGGGAGTGGTGTTGTGTTTGGGGGGTGCACAGAGAGCTCCTCTCCTTACACACAGGAGCATGTATGCTGTTCTCAGTGCTGTGGGCACGTTCAGAGCCATGGATGGATGGATGATTTGCAGCTTGCCTTCCTAAAAGGGCAGTTCTGAAGTGGCTACAGATGTGGTAAGGCTGCAGATGAATTGGGATCTGCTGTATCTTGCCTGTGTAGTTTATCTGCATCTTCAATGTCTTCATAAATGAGAGTGAAAAGAAGATTTTTTTAAAGTTTTATATGATTTTTCTCCTCTGGAGCTGATGAGTTAGATCTCTGGTGGTAGCAGTATGCTCCTGTTGTCCAAGGATAAACCTTTTTACACTCCTTCTGTGCTAAAACTTGAAGGTTTTGTCAGAATATTCATGTTCTGCTTTCCAGATGATCTCATTCTTGCTTCTTGCCACAGAAAATCTTGTTTGTGTGCATTTCATCAGCTGTACACAGGCCAGCAGTTTAGCAGCTGATGTATGTGATTGGTTTTATTTTTGCTGCCTTTTACCAAGAGCACAGAGGATGCAAGGTTTGTGTTTGAGCAGGGGTTAGGAATTTGGAGAAGGCAGGCTGGGGAAATGTCTCTGGCCCTTCCAGTGTAAAGAGAGACTTGTGGTAGCCTTTCATTCCCTTGGGAGCTTATCAACAGCTTTGGGCTAGTGCCCTAAGTCTGTGCAGTTGATTCCCACCCCCCCCCCCCTTTTTCCGTTGATTCCCCCCCCCCCCTATTTTAAGCCTGATCCAGGAGCAATCCTTTGTGTTGGTCTGCATCAAGAACTGGGGTAGGAATCCAGTTTTGACCTGCAGCCATGGGGGAGTTTCCTGGTGCCTGCAGATGCTTCCTAGTGCTTGTTCCTGCTCACCCACTTTGGATCACTCTAGAATGTGGTGGTGATGTGAGTGCAAGTAGTAAAATAGAAACAGGTTTCATGTCCTTTGAAAATGCCTGATCCTTGAGTCCATATTGCCTGTGAAGGTTTGGCTCATGACTTGGTGACTGAGGGAGAAGAATGACTTGTACATGATTCCACATGATCTTCTTGTTGGAATCACTCCTTGAGTTTCCTTCTCAACACCTGAGGTGGTCATCAAGAGGAGTGTGTTTGTGTTTCCCTTGACAACCCATGCTGGGGGGAGCTTTGGTCAGCTGAAGTGGCTGCAGGGTGTCCTGCTGGTTGGCTAAGCAATGCCAGTGGCAGCTGTTAAATTCTCCAGCTGCTTGGTGAGGACTCACTGCTGCAGGGAGTGTTTGCTTTTGTGTTGTTCAGGGGCTGCCAGGTCATTATCTGAGGTTTAAGTGGTTTGAGTTTCACCCATAAGATCACTCCAGACTGTTTCTCCAGGTTTATTTACTGTGTTTCTTGAAGGCTGTTGGGGCATCCTTTCAGGGAGAAATACTTAGTTCTTCAGTTTGCATCTACCAGTTGTTTAATTTGGGTTGTTGGTACTCTAGCACTTCATAGAAGGACTTGTTTGTGTTTTCTACAGACTCATTAGACTTCTGAGTCATTTCCTTTGGATTAAGAATCTGTCTTCAGGGGTTGCTTTCACCTTCCCTTTCACAAGTTACATCCTTACCACTATTATGGGCATTTTTGTGGCAACCTGGAGAGCAAGGTGCTTTAGGAAGTGTGCTTGTGTTTGTGAGGTCTTTTGTACACCAGAGATGCTGCTTGTCATAATGCCAATGCTGGCAAGCAGCCAGGGCTGGCAAACAGCAAAAGTTTGCTTCCAATAGATTGTCTCAATGGTTTGGGCTGCTCCTGCTTTTCTTCCCCATGGGAAACAGATTCCCATCATTCTACTCCAGTGGTTCTTAATCACCTTAGAAACACAAGCTCTTGTG